GCAAACGCATGGCCCGCGGTAACCAATATCTATATAATAGTAATGTTCAGCAGTTAGCTTTTCAAATAGCCTTCTTGATAAGCTATACATTAAATAATTACGTTAGTATTCGAAGTAACGTTACCCCTCACCCGTTTTTGCGGTTTCCATCTCCACCAAAATAGCAGCAACTGTTCTTCCCACCATCGTCGCTCGCCACGCGTGCGGCCAGACCCCTGATATGAGGTTGATTGCCAAAAATTGTAAAATGTTTGCATTGTCCATTGCATTAAACTGAATTCCCAGCATCGAAATCGCTCGACAGTTACGATCGTTGGAACGTGGTTCGTACGAAATACGTTATTCGCATATAAGTATAGTAGGTTATAGGGGGTTTTTGCCCCAACGAGTAATCAAACTGGGACTGCGAGATAGGCACGCTCTGGCCACCGTAGTATCTAGCAATACTGAATCAACTTTGCATGCTCGCATTTGACGTCCACCTTTTTCGGTCGTTCAATGGGTTTAGGACGAAACAAGGATGGAAGACTTGTAAAAACGATTAATACAGTGTAGTCTCCGTACACATCAAGCCTATTCTTTATTTAATTTAATTCCTATAATAGAAGTATTGTTTAATTGCAACAATAGCTACCGTGGCTCTGTTCTTGTATCGTATTTATATCGAATTTGAGTTTCTTCTAGCTTGGTCTTCGTAACGATGGTGACGCACGTGAATCTTTGCAGAGTTCTGCCGCAATGGACAGAATCTCATGAGCAAGTCGTTAAAAAAGTGGAGGAACTATTCGACGAATTTAGACTGCGTCGTCGACAACGACGACGACGACGTATCTTCGTAAATCTTATCTGGGTTTACTTTATAATGGAATATACGCAGCTTTTTTTATGTCCCAGTATAGTTGAAGTACAATGAAGTTGACAGTTTGTGTTCAACACTGAATATTTGGTTCTCCTGCGCTCGTTTAATTCTTATGGAACTGAGAGTCTTTGCTTCAAATAACTCAGTTTTAGCCTAGTACAATGTTTTCGGATACATATACTAAAACTGGAACGATTCACTCTTCTGGTAATACAAACGCGACGGGAGGAAGTGGTCATGTCCGCAAGGAATAGTTTAACACAAAACTAGAAAACAAACATTTTGGTAACGCGAGCGAGAAAGGCCATACTGATTACAAATGACTCAGAAAAAGATAAGGCTTTCCTGGGACACTTCGCTTTGCAATATCTGTAATAGCTATGACAAACTTGCCAGTAAGAGGGATTGCCATCATGCACTGCAGTGATACCATCAAAGCTATTCAAGATGAGGGTGACCGCTCTAAGCACTTTAATTGCAGGAATGGCAACGGTTACGGTTTCTACCGTTGAATTCCTTCGTATCTTCGGAAAGGTTACGAAGAGGAGCAAGACATCTAAAGAACGAGAAGCGCTAGCTATTACATCTCTTTTAATTTTCTGATTGCTTTCATTTGAAGTGGCACCATTAAGACGCTCGGTCAAAGCATGTTCGCGGCTGATAAACGTCCACGTCGAGACCAAGGCGAAGACCTCCCATAACAATTAGTGAAGCAGAAACGGACGAGTCCGCGTGTCGTCAGAGTAAAAGCCGAGGGCAATCTTACGTTCAAGGCCACTTTTAATGTCATCGAAGGTCACTTCGAAGGCAGGGATTACCCTGGGCCCGGTCACAAAGATTAAAGGTGGCAGCATGGTCGTCAAAATAGCTGAGGTAACATCTGCAGGTGAAGCTACGTTTGCGGAAAGTATCCGCAAGAAACATGTGCGGAGATAGATATTCAGAATTTGGTTAGTCCCTCCCCAGCAGTAATCTTCATGCACGATGCATTTTTTCTTTCTAAAAGCCAAGTAAGCAGAAAACGAACTGTGAAATACATTGAAAATTAGGAAGGATATCAAGGTTCAAGTACAAGAAGGGAATCGTGACACGGAGAAAACAATGCCAGAGGAGTCAGCAGACGACAAAACCCAGACTTGAGCAAAAGATAATCGCGCGACAAGAACGGGGCACCTACCAAAAAAAAATACGGGTAACCCGCGAAGCACAATAGGGTCGCTCACGCTAATCAGCAGTAATCAGTCATCTCAATATGATACAGGTTAACTGCAATCATAGTAATCCCGTCAGTGCAATATGGGACCAAACAGTCAACAGAAAAGATGCTAAACTGATGTTTATAGGTGAACCGAATATTGCGTTGGTAAATAGAACCCCGAATGGATCATGGACAGCAAAGGGAGTGCAAGTATCATCGAAGACAACTCAGCCCTAATATCTCAGCAGGAACAAGTAATTCGCTTGGATTGATATTAATAGACCTAGCAAAGTTTACTCGTGATATGTAAACGTTATCTGCCAGAAGGAGAAGTTTGCAAGCTTTTTTAGATAAAGTTACAGAATCCATTTAGGACATGCCCAATTAAAATAAAATGCTTATTGCTGAGGACTTCTCAGAAACGCGACTGCTGTGTGTTGGCATTCTACAGACAGAGGAGAAACAACTGTAATAAAGACGGTCACTACAAATAGGCTAATTTTTACAAATGATGCCATAGAAGCATCCATCTAAAAGCCAAACAGGGACGTGTATTCAAGTTTTACTATCGCAGGCGTAGATCTGGTTCAAATAATCATTGAATAGTGAATTCTCTGAAGCGTAGAAAATCTTAATCATCATAATTGTGTCAAGATTTTCGTCATACAGGAAGTACAAACCGGAAGAGGTTCAACAGAATGGGTTAAAGATACTGGATTCAGAAGCTTTCGAGGATATGTTATAAGGAGTTATGGTACACAACAAACTGGAAAGGCAAGGAAGGCCTCCCGAGAGCACTCTACGAAACCTGCTAGCCAGTGCCCCTAATAGAGACCATAGGACAAAGCAATTGAAGTCAAACAAGCTGGTATGCGGCCATTGCTGATTCTAACAGAGCTTGTCCACGAATTCGCTGGGCTGTTAAAAGATTGTTTGAGCTATTCATATAAAATCATCAAAAACAAAACTGCAGACGCCCTCAACGTTGACATTTTCAAGCAGAAGAGAACTTCGATGTCAAGCATGAGAACTTCAGATGCGAGCCACATGAACGAACAAGCTGTGATTATGGGAATACGTAATTTAGTACTATCGATTATATTAATAATTGCCTATCGAATTAAAATGGAAAAGACTTCTGGCTTGGACAACATTCACCTCTTTATAGAGAACCCAAAGGTAGTTGCGCATACACTTTACAGCCTTAGAAGGTATTAAAGACATTCCATTATTCCTCCAGCAGATCTCAACACCATGATTAGGAATCTTCTATACCAGGTTGAAACAGTATCTAATTACCTAAAGGTCAAAAAGATTGCGAATGCGGGATATCTATACAAATACTTGTTGAGTCTGTCAAACAGAACGAGAAGACAATTATATACTCGTATGGCTATGAAAACGTGTGTCCCATAGCATCTCTTCTAATGCGGCCCTTGTGGAACATAGCGTATGACAGCGTCCTTTGTTTCCAGAGCCTTTCCAAGGAGTGCAAATGGTGACGTACGCAAGAGATTTACTTATCACCGTCTAAGCAAGGTCTGTCCCAAAAACCGGACTTCGAGCACGTAAGACTCTGTATACCGTTTCGAACTAGAGGTAAAAAAGTTTAGGAAATCTATTAATTGAAAAAAGATCTAGTTAAACCATATTTGTCTGAACCGTAAACAGATCGAGAAAGTAAATGGTACAAGCTGCTTAGGAGCGTATTTAGATAAAAGACGATATTTTCCGTATAAGAAAGGTTATAGCTAAGGTTAGTGAAGTGGTGAACTCTATAGCGAGAATCCTCTCTATAGTTTATAGACCGAGAAGCAGGCCGCTGCAGGCTGGTCACGAAATAAATGATTATATTGGGAACCCCGGAGTTTATGAAGAAGGCGACAAGTATGAAAAAGAGCAGAAACCTAACCCGCAAGACTCAGCGAACGGCTGTACTCCAATTTACGCAAGCATTATTCTACTCTGAAGTTTGAAAATCACGTAAAGAAATCGCTTGTGACATAGAGGCGAGAAACCAAAAGAAATAAAGAAAGCGAAAGAAAACAATCGCTATTTTAGAATAGCAACAAGAAGGGACGGCTACTTTAAGGGGCAACTGTGGATTACTGATCAGAGACCTCGTTTCAGACACCAAGAAGTAACTCGACATGCTAAGTGGAAAAATCAAGCGCCTCGGGAATGAAGTCCTAAAAATATCAAGCAACTTTCAAAGTTATCTCCTCGGGATCGGCAAGGATCCAGGTATCTACGTTCGCTGTGGCCCTGGTGCCAGATACCCAACCTATACCTTACCTAGCAGACCTGCGTGGCACAGAGTCAGAGGTGAAAGTAAAAAAACGGGTTGCGACCTGAGAGGCACTACAGGCTGTTGAAAAAGTGATTCGTCGACTGCTGCAGAAATATTAAAAAAGGAGGAACGCCCTAAACAGATGCGCAGAGCCACACTAAGCAGAGCACTTCGTATAGATTTTACAACCACAGATAGGAGGCACCACATTAAGAGAGGCCTCCGGATTGATTGATCTTCTTTCATCGTCCTGTAGTACGTACTGGTCACGAAGATTCGGGCTTGGATAAGCATTTTAATTATAAATAATAAAAGTTTCTCATCTGTTCGCGTCCAGATTTTCCTCATGCTATGATTCGGCAGTTCTTAAAAAGTACATGAAGCTTCTATTGAGCCATTATTGCCAACTATGCCGACATGTCAATAATCTAAACTCAAAACAGAATTGGATATTATCGCATATGGCTTTTTTCATACCTACTCTTTTAAAGAATGTTTTAATGGTTGCACAGTAATCGTTTTACTGGAACATTTAGAACTTCTATATCCGCACATAGTACGATTCTGCTCTCATCTACTTACATATATTTACGTAAAAGAAAATCAATCAATAAACAATTAGGCATGTGTTTAAATCAGAAGAAAAAGTTTATTTGTGGTACCAATCGACTCGTAAGCCCCTAGTGGATTATTAAATTATAAGATTGTTATTTTCTTTTCGTTGATCCGCATTCTAAACGGGTCTTCACCGCTAGCCACATCGTAATAGCGTGGGTAGGATTTCTTTGAATTTTTCTTAACTTGCTCAGATATACCCTTGTAGGCATGGCCAGTCTGATGCAATGCTGAAACTGCTTTTTTTCTATCGCGATCAGCGGTCGGTGATGGAACTGTCTCCAGGGAAATAGCGGCTTCTTTGCCCATGTTATTCTTAGCTTGTACAAGTCTTTGAGCAGAATCAGTGATCGGCTTGGGCCTTTCATTTTCTAAAAGTGGTATTCTACGATCCACGTAAGTATTTTTGCTAATGGTCGGCTGCTGATTGGTGACTGGCGTCGTAGGTAACTGATTGCCAGATCGGTCAATCTCATCTATAAGTATCTTTCCTTTATTTTCATGAACTGTTGCTGTGGAGCCAACTGGTAAATTGTGGACACGCTTTTGGTGTTTGTTGGTTATAGAAGAGACGGGTGTTTGCTCATTAATAGTAGGCAGGGCGGTTTTTGAATCAAAGCACAGTTCCATAGAAGCTACGCTTGAGCAAGGAACAGACGGCGTCCCCATTTGATTGGCAAGGTACAGCCGTGTGGGCTTTTTCGTCAACAAAGGCATTTCGGTACGATCCGTAACTAGACGGTCGGGTTTAGTTCCATCATTTAGTGTCATCTTTCCGTGATTTGGATCAGTGGCTAGAGAGGGATAGCCTTTCTTATTATCTATTGCCGACAAAGCTTGCCCGTTTAGAAGATTCGCCATTTTTCTCACGGAGAGCGATATGCCAGTATAATCTTCGGTTTCTTTAGCAGAACGAATTTCTAACAGCCTAGAATCATTAATTTGATGCGGGAAAACCCTTTTTTCGATGGTAGTCGTTGTTAATGGAGCAGGTTTACCTTGTTTCTTAAAATCGTAATTTATTGGAGAAACAATCGTTTGATCGAAGATGGGTACAGAGCCGTCGTTAGCTGTCGCTGACTGCAATGACTTATCGCCATGGGGTGCTCTTTGCTGGTCGTCATATTTTGCCGTCGACGTGAGGATGTCGAAAAAACTTGCGCTGTAGTCATAGCGTGTAGTCGATAATAGCTCACCACTATAAGCATTAGGCCTGATTAAATCATCAACTACCGTCGATGAAAAAACTCGGGGATCATAAGAGGTTGTTGACGCAATCTCACCCTGAGAGCCAGTTTGAACATGCCCGAAACAGGTAGTTTGTGTAAGAGTTTCCTGCGGAGGCAATGATATTTGGCAATTCTCTCGTTCTAATCGAGTCGCGGGCACATCAGGTTGTTCATTATATCCGACTGATGAGATTGTGTCCTCATCGTAACCTATAGGTGATGGCATCAAGACATCGCCATAGGTCACTAATGGCACAACCTCACCGGCCTCATCGTAACCTATAGGTGATGGCATCAAGATATCGCCATAGGTCACTAATGGCACAACCCCGCCGGCCTCTTGATCGTTTTCAAGCTCGGATGGCTCAGCGTGAATTTCGAAATTCATCATTGGCTTAACCGACTCTTCGGTATAGGTTTTTAAGCTAATCCCTTCGAAATTCGTCACGTGCTTAACCGACTCTTCGGTATGGCTTTCTAAGCTAATCCCTTCTTTATTAAGCGCTAATTGTTGCAATGGAAAGTTTTGTTTTTCTTTCCCCTCTTGTAGCTTATGGTTTAGTAGAGTATTTGCGATTGTTCGAGGCGGTTCTCGTACAGTTGATCTTAATATGCTAACCATAGCTGATGAACTTAAATCTTCAGTATGTTCGTGCACGCCTGATGCCATTCTCTTACCTAACACGTTCAGTCTGGTCATAGAAGGCAACGATAATTCTTCATTATCAAACGTCGGTGATATCTGCTCATAAGGATTATAGGTTTCCTCATCCGCCGTTAAAAAAAAAGACCGCCAACTATCGTTTCCTCTCGCATGGTGTTTGCAATCGTAAGATTTCGGAGCCATTATCCCTTTCGGTTGATGCTCGTTACTCAGTAACTCACCTCGATGCTCGAACTCCGTCCGATCGGCTTGTACGGCTAGAAACGGTTCCAGATGTTCGTCCTGCCAAGATGTGTCACTGCACAGCGAGCACTCGATATCTGATTCGTAGAAACCACGGCTCGTCATCAGGTGATTGAGCAAATATTTTTTGCGAAGTTGAAAGTTACGACTCTGTTTACGATAATCTTCGAGTGCCGTAATGTCTTCAGAATGTTTGTGCGTTGCAATAGACTGTTCTAGGATTTCATTGGCGTGTTTACGTTTCAGTGACTGATGCTTTGTCGCTGCCGCAATGTTCGGAAACTCTTCTTTTCCATCTAATATGGCCGTTATCCATTCCAGTTCTAGTTCTGAACTAGATACATTAGCTGTCATTGTTAGATTATCTGTGGTGGTCAAACCTTCGTCCGGACTTAACCTTAACGGTGGCCCATGTGCGAGAGCTCTTCTGTCCCCCGATAAGTTCAAAATCGGATGTGGAACAGCCTCTGATGTCCCTTGGTAACCTGCAATGGTTGGCAACGCCAGTGAATCTATCAGCTCATCACGACATTGAAAAGGGGGGAAGTGCTTTCGACCTCTGCACTTGGATTTCACATCGGAAAATTCTAGATGGTTTATCATGCAGGTATGTATATCCAATAGTTCCTGTTGCCCACGTTCCCGTTGAGTTCTACCTGCAAGGAGACGATCACAGTTCAGCGGCAACGAACCTCGCTGATCCCGTGATCTTTTACGTTGACGGAGTGTACAAGTCCTTTTACGCCGGTCATAGACATACGTAGAAAGCCTCTTCTGTCCTTGCCGTCTACGAAAACGCAGAATGTTTGAGTCGTTCTTGACAGATATCACTGCATCCCAGAATTCTTTTGACATCCACCTTCGACAATCTGCTGATAACCGAAAATTATCCGTCAATATTGTTCTCTCTGATCCCATGCACTGTTATTACTGCTGATGGATAGTTCGTTTACGAGCAACTCTCAGAACAACAACGTCGACGTCTCCGCTTTGGGCGCTCTCGGTTATCGGCCGCAGCTAAAGATTTTGACAAGCGACCCCCGACTAAAGAGCTCAGCACGCGCGTGACAACACTGTCAACTTCTGCATTTGACGACATTCTCAATAGCCTTTCACGTTACTGATCCCGTACCGACATGTTAATGGAAAGCGGCACTCTATCGTACTTCGATCATAGCCCTTTATATATACATAGTGCCTCTTTATAGGTACTCGTGCAGCTAATACGACGCTACCTGTCATAACCAAAATTCTAAAATACGGGTTTTAAAGGCCTACTGCATGAGTAAATCTCAAGACGATTATTGCATTACCTGGACAATTAGGCAAAATGATCCCTCTCTGCGGCTTCGTTTTTGAAATTTTGGCGGTATAACTCAACCGATCGCTTGGTCTGAACTAACATATCAAAAATTAAAAAGTGTACACGACTATAGGAAAAAGTCGGTAACGTAAGTCCGTCATGTGTGATCATTCTATCGAGTCGATGGGTTGCATAATAACCTGGAAATGCTTTCTATTTTTCAACCACCTTCCGATTTCCTGTTTTCACCCATAGTCTTAACGAAACAATTGTGGAAATAACTTTGACATCATTGCTGAACTTCCTAATCATATCCTGAATATAAGATTTAAAATTACTGACACCGCTTGTTCGGTAAATGCAATGCATGTCTGCCTAAAATAAAATAAAATACATAACAGGCAACCTGAGTGGTCAAAACGGTACTGCTGGTATCACTCAGAATATATCTTGAATGCTCGTTATGAAGATGAGCGGTTAACTATTAAAGTTGGATAGCGGCAATCCTTGAATGACTGAACTTGTTTTGGTAGACTTCAGCGGTTTGATGGTTTGTTGATAGTTCAAATACTCATTTAATATTTCACGCGTAAAAGTTATTGACTTGTTATTAATATTATTATAAATAATTAGGCGATATTGACTATCAGATGGCATAATTACTACAAAGTTTGCAGGGCCATCATCTTTAATAGGTTTTCGAAACCGAGTAGTTAGTCTGTGCCATACCATCAAAAGATTTCCGCAAGCGAAAACTAGGCGTGGGATTGCTAAGGCTTAAAAACAACGTATGCGTATATATTTGTTTTGTGTTGTTTTAGGGAGTGTTGATTATTATCGAAGTTTGCGTGTAGTGTTATTAACGTTAAAATACTTTAATCCCTGTAAACAAAAAGAAAATCTGGAAAGATCATTTACTAGATGACCTTGTTTGAACCGTTATTGCACGAACCTAAGCCAGTGAAAAGGGAGGCAATTTAGTGGTTATTAAAGTGTGTGAGACAAGTGTTTAGAGGGTATTATAGCAGTGCATACAATAATTTCAGTAAATTTATAAGACATTATAAACGAAAGAGGATAGAGTGCTATATTTTTACTATGAACCTAATAATCTGAGATTTATTTCTAGAAGTGGTATTCTATTCTTTCAGTAATTGAAACATTGTAGACGTATTCAATAATCCGTTCGCTTTTAGTGCAGCAACGATGAATTGCAAAAGAAAATTTCGAATCAAGTTGAAATTAAGATCCAGGTGGAGCGATGCTTCATGTAAGAATATTTGCAAAGAAAGGCTTCTCATAATTTTTTAGTCGAAAGCTGAAGTTCCAGTTTGTTGTTTATGAGCATTAAATAGTAAATCCAACTCGTGCGTGGACCTGGATATAAATATACGGGTCGATTGGGTGGTTTCAGGAATATGTGGACGTCTCATAGGAATACGAAAATGGCCGAAAGTCGCATGAGTTCCGACATCTTTTCGTGCAAAACCGCACTCTTAGATCTGCTTATGAGCTTAAGCTTTCTAATTAAAATGAATAATATTCATTTTGATTCATAGGATGCATCGTAATGATGCACCACCGGTCGCTTCTATAGGCCTTGTTCTGATATAAACATAAACCTAAACCAAAAGTGTTTTGTGTGTTTAGATAAGTTATTAGTAATAACTCATAATATAATCACAAAGCACGAAAAATGGTTTGGAATTTTTGCAGGCAAAAAAGTAGTAGATTTATTTTCTATGTAGAAACAAAAGCAGGTTTATGCTTTTGTTAATAATGATCAGCCAATCCTCCCTTTGTCCTACTACTTAGGCGTGACGATAATAACGCACTTCAACGCACGTCAAAAGCTGCTCGCTAAGATAAGCCCCTTCATACTCAACTGTCTACCCAGTAGAAAACTATATTAATAGACAGAAAATTGCTGAAAAGGCGAGTAATAATAATAATAATAATAATAATAGGAGCAACAAAATTGACATTGTCTTTCAGTTTGGCTTCTCGCTGCAAAAAACGTGCAGTAGGCTGGTTGCTTAGCCCTCGGCATCAGAACAATCGTCGTTGTCGACAGGTTCCAGAGCATCTATCCCTATTCCGGCAATCTCCAAGAGACTATCAGACATTTTTGATAAAAGAGCTCCTTCAGGCTTAGGCATGTTGGAATACGTGAACAGGAACTCGTCTTCTGCAATGAATTAGAATATGATTACTATGTATTTTTTGGCTTAGCTCTTTTTTCTTTAGGTTTCGCATGATAGGCAACTGAAAACGCACAGCGTTTTAGCCATTCGAGCATATCTATACACTAAGGATTAGGTGCGTCAATGGCAGTACAAATACAATGTGTCCGTTTAACAGCTTGTCCTTTACAACAACAGGGATGAAACTAGGTACCTGAATGATCACTTTTCCATTGCGGCCATGTTCGAAAGCTCAAAGTCGCTAACGGCCGCTAAAGGAACTTTGAGCAGAATATTTTTGGGCAAGATATATGACGCTGTTAGCACTAATTGCTATAACGACAAAGGAGATGTTATTCACACACACGCATTCGAAGACTTTAGCCGTTAATATTTGTGTATCTAAAATATTATGAAACCATCTATAAAAAAAAAACCTGTTTGTCTTGGCGGTGGAAGGCTACGAGATTAGATACTGACGCCTTTTTTCGAAGCTCATATATCCGATGAAGTAGGTGGTATAGTCGGTGTCTACTACGTCGACCCGAGCGACTTCATTGTCTTGAAGTACAACAAACAAAGACACAAACAAAGATTTCTATTTTCTAAAGTACTCTGTGAACTACAAACAAGACGTTATTTTATATGATCAATACTTGTAAGCTGCATAAGTGAGCAATAAATGATCTAAGGCGGAATGTACAGAACCCTAATCATTAAAGACCTTCCTGGAGGTGAAAGCTGCACACAGCGGTCTACGGACCGGATATTCTTACTTCTCGTCATACGTTATTTTCGATGTTTTTAATACACCTGTAGGCTAGAAAATGAGTGCAGTGGGTTAGGGTGGATGGGCGTGAAACTAAACTTGCACAACACTACCCTCCATTCTAAAGGTGAATCCTTGAGAATTGAACTCGACCGGAAAGTAGGCCTGATCGATGACGCTAGAAAATCGTTGACATTTTAGATCAGTGTAAGTAACTTGCCTCATCAATTTCCATCTTATTGCTCCAAGCTAACATATGATACACAATATTCTGTTGTCGTTTAACTCTTCTCCTTTCCTCGGGCATTTTTGCCGTACACATCGTTTTTATCTCTGTTGGCTTCTATGTGTTGCAGTTAACATACCAGAAGTATAGGGTTATTTAGAGATTGTCGACATAAAGATTCTAACTTTAACAAATGTGGCAAGTATTACTAACCCTGAGTTCTCGTGGTCAATTCCGATATAAAGCTGGTTGCTTCTAAATGGTCGACTAATGGTCACCTTTAGACAACGATCAAGATGGCCTGGGCGGAGTCGTTGGGCTCGATGAGTCACCCACCATGTTTGTTTCTGAAACTGCAAAAATTGTAAGGGTGAGCACGCACAATTATATATAATATATATATAATTCTATAATTCTAATTTAAAAATCCAGGTTGGAAAACACGCTCCAGCTTTCTCTAAGACAAGAATTGCGAATTATATTTACAATGCATGGAATAGCAGTCTTACATGTAACTAGTATGTTAATGAATAAATGTGTGAAAGGAAAAATTATCAAAGTAAACGCGAAAATCTAAACACACCCATCATGTTTTTTTTTAAATTTTTCCTTGTTATTCTAATCACAACACAATTTAGTGATGAAACTAACCGCGAATTCAGTCTCATGATTAATTATGTCATTGATCAATCTTAAATTTGTATTGACCGTTAATGAGACATCGAGCATTTTGGACCTATCGTTCGAATAAAAAGAAGTTGCCCTTTCTTGTATGTTATGTTTACACTGCAACTTTTTTGACCTATCGACGACTAAAATTCCCTCTGATCCGCAGCTTGTCGGTCGAACCATACGCCTTTCATCGGTCCAGTAAAAGACGATCACACTGTTAGACTGACAGACAGGGTATATTTGTCTCTTAGTAGCAAGGCGCCTGCAAATGCATTTAACTTAATTCAAAGTCGTTTTCGGTGTACCAGAAAAAATAGATCATTGATAAGTTTACAATACTTCGTCAGGCCATATTATATCATAGTAGTCGTTTTTTTTTTTTTTTTGTCCAATTATTATATAAATGACATCATTTCCATTCACATATACCACTCCTAAGGCAGTAACCGTCTCTTGGCTGTAGAGAAAGTTGTTTTTTTTTCGTGTGCTGACAACATGTTTTATGGTGCCTGACGAAAGTAGTCTATAGGACTTGCCGTGATTCACCACGGAACTTCAGGACAATATAGAGATTTATTAAAAAGTAAATGCTGAGCGGTAAAGTAAGTTTGATTCTTCAATTCGTAGTCTGACACCTTAGGATCCAACTTAGCTAAACAGGTACTCCTAGGCTAATGTTATCCAGGTACCTTTAGATCTTAGCATTTACTACGTGAGAAAACTCACCTTCTCCAGGTCGAATTTTTCTATCAGTTTGAAACTAGGCTCAGCTTCAGCAGATATCAGAAACAACACAGCAGTGACAGCTGCGGCAGATATCAGTCTCGAGCTCAAGGCGAACATCGTTATATTCTTTTTCCTGTTTAAGCAACAAAGTGATAGGGACAATCGTTCTTTGATACGCGAGTCCTTTTGAGGACGACCGGACTATGTTGCGCCAAAGATCATATAAAGTTATTTGATCTATCTCGCACTGCAAAAACTTTACAGCTGGCTCCTATACATTTTAGTGGAAAGTGATAAGGCATAATGAGCTTTGATTGTGTCGAGGAGTACCATTACTCATGGCGGATATGCGCCTCATTTGAATTCGGAATAGGCACAGAAAATTACCCTTCTTAGATCAAAATGTACGACTACAAAGTTAATGTTCATGACATTTAATTTACTTCGAAATAGTTATGATTGAAAACTGATGCATTCTTCAGCTGAGTCATTGCTCACCCGTTGTTTATATAAAATTGCTCTTCTTATTGAGAGTAAAAATTATTTTCACTAGAGGATCATGTTCTGGTAAAGAATTAAATCTGTAGTGTCCTAGGATTTTGCCCCTAAGTGAGTCCTATTATGAAAACAAAATCATAAATGTTTAAGAAAAGCTCGACCGAGACTGCCAAGATGGCTTGCCACAACCGTATAAGTGTGTCTGCCTCATAGGGGCAACACATCGTAAATGAAAGTTTTTCTTCCAATACCAAAAGTTGTCCCAATTTTCCGCAACCTTTCTTCCAAGTTTGTTTGCACAATACGTATGATATTTGTTTTATATGTCCATTATAATTCATATTAGTGTTACTTTATATAACAGCAAAACAAGAAATATTTTACCATAAACAATAAACTCTGTGATTTGTTAGATGCTACAATAAGGGCTTGTTCTAATGACATTTTAGCGTAGCATAGTGCTTTTACATTTTTATAGAGGATTTGAGGAATATAGGTCACGTACTATAGGATCACCACGACCGGACGATGATGTCTATTCTATATGGGCCGAATATGAAACCCCACCAGTTCGATTTTCCATTGAGATAATGACCAATTCATAGTTTTTCTCGAGGTTCAATACGTATCAACTCGAAATTTTTGATGCAAGTCCAGAATACCGAATGTAATTCTGTAAAATAATTTTATGTAGCTCCGTTCTGATAGGACGGTGTGGCTGGTGTCACCGGATTTTCGACTCGAGGCCATTCTGCTTAGATACCCGCGTCCGCAGACGAGGTAACTCGCTCGACGGGGGTATGACAGCGGCGCGTCCTCTCAATTGGACAACCATCGTTTGTTACAAAAATGCTGTTATAAAAATTTCACGAGCTGTTCTTTTGCTTCAAAATCTTTTGCCAGGGTCTTTACCAGGCCTTCCAACACGGTTGCTGTTAAGTACGTAAGCCGTCTTCTTTCATTGTAAGTCATCTTGTATTTTAGAAACAATGTCTCTAATGTGGGTAAATGTCGTATAGGTCGTTAATGCGTGGTGTGCCGTATCTTCCAGGTTTGCAGTGCACAGGACAATCGTCCGGTAGGACCTCACAAACTTAGTAAAAATGGTGTTGAAATATGGTGAGCAATGACCATTAAAAGTTAGAGGTTTGATATATCGAGATGACCAGGTCAGAAAGGTTCAGGCTTTATCAATAAAATACTTTTCCTTGTTCAACCCTCGCTTTACACACTCACCATTGCAGATTACCAGCTAGCACTAAAGTTTTCCATGGTACTTGATTTCGTGTCGTACTTTCTGTTGCGCATATATCTCTATATCGTTTCACATATTTGAGATACAAAGCCTGTTTTCCGCCGTGGAGATCCTTCGTCGTGGCCATAGGAAAACTTCCTACAGATGTGGATACGAACCTCCTAGCATGACAGTGAGTAGAAAGCCAATCCCATACTCTCGTCGCAGGACTGCGAACAAAGCGGAGCGCTGCGCAGGTCAGTTTTCCTGCCGCAGCGTTTCGCTTTGTTAATGTAGCGCAATTGTTAATACTGACTAACCGGTACTGGTGTAGCGTTATAATAAAGTTATGTAGTTGTTTTCTCGAAACTTGTTAAACCGAATCAGTTAAGTTAATAGCCACCAACCCTGAACGTTTGGGTGATAAACACATCTAAAGACAGAGCTTTCTAGCGCGTTATAGACGTATGTGATACATACCAAAATGGCGTCCTAATACTTAAATATAATTCAATCAATTTACTCATAGCTATGTATATTCCCTGTTTAATCCTGCAATTCATTCTAATAGAATACCTTTAATAGCTTCCTCTGCTTTATACTACCAGTTGGTCGTTAATGAAGTCGTAAAAAAGAGAAATCTAATAAAGTCCCGTAGATCTGCTCGTGGTTCTCCGCTAATAATATGACACAAATGAAACATATTTTATTGATACTTAAGTTTTAATTTCAATTGGAACTCAACGTTTTCGAGCAACGGACCTTTATCGACTTCACGATACCTTAGATAATGTATTTAGTTTTATTATTAGGGGACACGAGCATCACACTGTGTCCAAGCTTCACCGACAACAGTATTGAAGGCAAAACAATGTTTTTAGCGTTCGAACGTCGCGCCACAGGCGATGAAATAGGGTTTAAATCGATTGATTAGCATGAAATCAATGTCAATTTCTTATACAGTGAAACGAAGTGACTCCAGCAAAACATTTTATTTCAATCTGGAACTAACACTGAATTGTCATGGCTGATTTCGGCGTAAAGGCGATTATTGTTAAATCGTCAGATGAAGGTTACCGTTAAACATCGATCCCGATAGCTTTTACGAAATCTCGGAATACAATGTACTAACCACTATCTGTTACGTTTGCGTCGAATTTGCCTCGAATCAAAGCTTCGGATATTACACTGCAGTGAATCATAGAAGCCCAGCTCACTTTACACCCACTGTATAACACCCTGTTCTCCATGTCAAGTAGGCTCTTTCTTTTGGCATTACCAACGGCCTTCTCAGCATCTATTCAAGAGCACAGGACTTCAAGTGATTTTGAACGTTTGAAACTATTTTGAACGTATTTCTATATATAATCTTAATCGTGAGCGAAGAAGAAGAAGAAGAAGAAGAAGAAGAAGAGGAACAGCCGTTCACAAGACGCACAACACGGCCAGGGTACTTTTTCAACGTTGCTCTTTCTCAAGGCTTGGGCCTGTGTAACTTCATTTTTCAAAATGATGGACTATGCTTGCTTGAAGAGCTAAAGCTGCCGTGTAGCGACGTGAAGCCTTCAGTTAGTTGTATGAGATTTGCTTCAAGTTTTTGATTAAATTACATTTTTCAAACATAGAATATTGTTGAAATCAATATATTTGCGATTTTTCATGGAAAGAAGCTGGCTATTATTAAAGAAACTGTTTATTAGCGTGTCTGAGCTTATGTTAGGCCTTGACATTCTAGAAGGTCTGTCTTGCCACTCGGAGATATAATCACTTCGATGAAGATAATAGATATTTATACATCTTTCTGGTATTCGTAATTAGATGCGGTAGCGGTCGTGTTCTTGCTATGGTAGATCGAAACTAGACGCGAATATTAGACGAACTAGACTGATTTCCTTCAAGTTTAGATCCTAACTAGAAGTGAGAAGAGGATCATGTAAGGAGACTAATCTATCACAATGGAGAGGCGGCAGACATTGCAAACATTCTGAGATGTCAAACAAACCTTATAGGTATATCTTGTTTTATAAGACATCCCAGAATATCCGTCGTTCCTTCTGTATGATAAATGAGTCTTCTTGCATGAATCTTCTCTGTTAGGATGAAAATTTAGAAAATCATTCTAGCTTTTCATGCATATATAACCGGCAGCTTATACAACGTTATGCTTGGCCTCTCGAGCAAGCACGCGCACTTATTTCTATTACTTATTACTTACCCGTGTACTTATTCATTGATTGATTACAGCCTAGAAACTGAGTGGTGTTACATCAGCTGATTTCGTACGACGATTGCAAGACGCCATTTGCTTCATGCCTTTCCCAAAGTTGTTTACTATCCCATAGAGTGAACGTGCTAAGCTAAATCTGTGAGCAGAGATACCGAAAATCGCACCGGACTGCCAGATCATGGAAGGCAAAGCAAGCAGCATTGAAAAATCAGCGTATTGAGATTCTGTGAGACCGTAATCGTTTGACACGAGCCCTTACGATGCTACCTTTTAAGCTGTATCGACACGACTATATGATAATATAGAGACAGGAAATGCCCTTGCATTTGACCAACTCAGTAATTTGTTACTGTATTTCTTCTACAAAAGGTACGGTTCGGATATCACGCAGAGAAATAACCTCGTTCAACAGCATCTTCAAATACGTATGACATCTCTTTCAGTGCAGATATAAGAAAGATATGCACCAGGACAAAAAGCAGTGTGACCGAGCACAACGTTTTTATATTGTATTTTGAAAACAGAACACAAATGATAAAATCGGTAAAACCAATGCGTACCAAAAAAAAATCAACATCGCAGCAACAGTTAACATGAATAGCCTTATCCACCGGGAAAATCCCACAAAAAAAAACACAGGCTAAAACAAATCTTGGAATCCGTTGAGTGTGCCCCTCTGACTGAGAAACACGTAGCAAACTTCGCATGACTGGTCCCACTAGAAAACATATGTTGGAGCAACTTGGGGCTTTCAGAAAAAGGTCATTCGTTATATAAGGCGTATCATTGACCTATAGAGACTGGGTTGGAACGCTAAACTGCCACTTAGAGTGCAACAATACATTGTATTAGCACTTACCGATTGAATTTTTTAGATATACTCTAACGTAGTTAAAGTTACTAACTAGCATTGCTGAAATGGAGTTTCCAGCACAACAAATATAATGAACGCACGAAATCCCTTATTTTATTGTTTTATAGGAGGTTGATTGGTGGAATTCTAACGTTATGAGTTGTCGCCTAAGAGGAAGTTATCTCTACTGGCTGCAGGATTATGCATTTTTTCAGTATTAGGTATGATTTGTTCAGGTTCAATGGTGCACGCATTTCTAAGTTCTTAGTTATAGCAGAGCCGAATTCCCTTGTCTGATGCTGCGACAGTTATTGTAATATCA